GTAAGCAGAATCGTGGTGTGCCCCTACTCTCATTTCAACCAACCACATACTGCACAATGAATTTATTTCCGAAGCATGTCCTTTATACCTATTCGATTTTATGGTACGTGGATGAACTGCAAAATAAGGTACGTCTTCGATACTTGGTTTTAAAAGTGCAACATAGTTGACTCTATTACAGAGCTATCCGAAGGGAACTGTTAAAACTAGCTGTGAAACACACACTTGAGATCATGGCAAGTTTCAAGTGTGGTACCATGAAATGAGGAACGTCAAAAAACTGAATAGGTTTACCATCTATCTACCTACTATGGCTCCACAGCCCTTTGTTGGACCTTGGCCGCTCTTTCAGTTTCTTAATCTAATAACAGTTGGTAGGACTCCTTGGACGGGGGATTAGCCTGTCGTAAGGCCGGTACCTACACATAGAACAAAACAAACACAGAATAAACGCACACAGATATTCATGCCTTGAGTGGAATTCAAACCCACGATCCCAGCGTTCGAGCGGGCGAAGACGGTTGATACCTCAGACCGCGCGGCCAGAGTGTTCGGCGGGTTTACAAAAATTTAACAAATTTCCACCTCATATTTTATTACATCCATGATTTATCAGCTTTTCGTGGCAGCAACAATAGCAGTAGCAATAGCAGCAGTACTGGTAACGGCGCCAGATCAGTGGCTGCACGAACCAAGCAGTGTACTGAGTGGATCAGCCTGTATACACGCAAGCCCGCTATATTCATGTACGCAAACGGGTTATTTGCAGAACAGGCTCAGAAAAGGACACTTGTATCCACATAGCTCCTTCAGAAAAGCAAATACTTTCAAAACTTAACTGCGAAAGCCAAAGATATCCCTATGTTTAATTAAACAACACTCCCTGAGGACGAGGTGGGAGTGGAGGTATACCTCCACGCATATTTACTGTCTACTAAAGCGAGCTAGATTCAAGGTAAGTCCGCTTTACCTCTGGGGATATGGTCTCCGGAGAGGAGGCCGGACGTTGTGGAAACGAGAAGAATCTGTCCTGACCGGGAATGGCACTAACAATTCTCCAGTAAGAAGTCGTAGCGTAGTAACTATACTGACTGAGCTAATCTGGATCTGTCTTCGTGTACTGCTTCAAACCCATATAATTTCAAAATCTCTCCTTGTCAACCGAACAAAACAATTAGGCCTCTGTGCGTGTGCAACTCGCTGCATCACAGTTGTACGTGATTACTTGACCGCTGCTAACAGGTGGCAGCACGGCAGCATCAGCGCAGTAACTGACCGGGGATTCCCCTTGGCCGTGTACGAATGTGCTGTCATATGATGAAGTATCCGACTAGCATCCTCACTTATTTTCTTACTCGTTCGTCTTGTCAGTGTTTCAGACCAAATAGTGTGTCCCATGAGGAAAGGGAAGTATTCCGAGAGGTCATAGTATCGGCCATTCTAGATAGGAAAGAGTGTATATGTACATGTGTCCTACTCCGAACGGTTTCCGAGATACAGCTATTTCACTGTACAGTTATACAAAACTGTTGATAAGAAAGAAATATTGCGTACTGTTTCTAATACCGGTATTTACTGTTCAAGTGGCAACGTTGGTACAGTTCACCTAGTGTAATACATTTTCGAAAATTCCACAGTCAACATCAATGCACTTTGCAACTCGTGTGAGGCATGGCGTGTTGCTCGTCTGTACAGTGTACAGTGTACTGTGCAGTGAAATAGCTCTATCTCGGTGCAACTCGTGTGAGGCATGGCGTGTTGCTCGTCTGTACAGTGTACAGTGTACTGAACAGTGAAACTAAGGCCCCTAAGCCGTCTGGCCCGTAGCCAGTCGCTATACTGACTGCGCTAGCCCGGCTCGTACCTTTGCTTCAGGACCTCTGATATTTACGGCATGGATGTACATTCAGAACTGTAACTGTAACTGCGACTTTTGGGTTTGCAAGAATCGCCAAATGTGCAGCGGAAGCAGCTACTCGAATGTGCAGGACAGCGCTGCAGCAACATAAATGAATGCAAGGAAATGAATGAACGAAGTACAGAAACGCATTTATCCTTTGCAAAACATGAACACTTGTCGGGCAAATTTTGGTGCCAAGAGTATGTCCAAAATGCGACACAAATAATAGAGAGCCTTTATCAAAATACAAAACTTATATTGAATATAAAGGACCAAAGTTATAATAATAAATCAAGCATAAGGCAAGGATACAAATTTTCTCCCACCCTCCTTAATTGCAGACAAAAAGAAAAGATTGCTCTAGGAATTATAACTAGACAAGGATATAAATATATTACTGTACAACTTATAATTTTCGCGTTATTGGTAAATATAAAATTCGGATATGTCAACCAGGAAAGCAAGTCATGGCGTTCAAATGTGCTTTTCCGTAAGAACTAAAATGATTATTAATGGAAACATGTCATAGCAGATGTATCGTTTAAAATGCATGATTAGAATTTGCGGCAAGTTACATTTTAAGTACTAAAACATTGTAGTAGCATTGGGAAGTCTGTTGTACGGAAGTGAGTCTCGGACAATTAAAACAAGCGGCATAAATAGAATGCAGTCTACAGAGATGAGATACTTATGAACAGGTGCAGAATGCGGTAGATCAGTTCGTATCGAGCATGGGAATACTGACAGAGACCTGAAAATACAATTGGCATTAAATGAGTAGATGGAGACAGATAAAGCGCATGAAGCATCTGGCTAGAAAACTGAAACTGATTCTGGAGACAAACCAAACGGATGCCGAGACCAAGGAAGATCTTGGGTAAGAAGAAATGTTTATGTGAAGACGGAACAGGCTTCACTGCCTGTAACAATAATTAGATTTAAAAAAGTAAACCTATCCCTGTAACAGACTGTGGGCGCCGATAGGATTGTGAGACGTCGAGGCTCCCACAGATGGCGCGGTGAGGTTGTCAGCCTTACGCGCCGACCGTCTTTTACCCCCAGGAAGATTCCTAGTAATCATTTCTGTTAGAGGCTGAGTTGACCCCAGGGTCATAATGCGACTGAAAGGATTAGGTTAAGTAAAAAAAAAAATCAGTGATCTAATCGGAAAACGGGCGTGCACTGTCTTCGCGCGCTCGGAAGCCGGGATCGTGGGTTCGAATCCCGCTCCGGGAATGGATGTGTGTGTGTGTGCGTTTTTCTGTGTTTGTGTACAGGTAGAGGCCTTACGACGAGCTGATCACCCGCCCAAGGAGTCCTACCGTATGTCTAAGATCTAGAAAAACCGAAGTAAACGGAGAAGTTCATGGAGGTAGGCTTAGGCCCACTGGGGCTGTAGTGCCAAGGAAAAAATCGGGAAACGAACCCGCGACCTTCCGACTTGTAGCGCAGTGCCCCACTCATTAATTACATAAGAATTGAACAGAACAAGTTCTCAGTCAAATTTCAGGTTCTGACGGCTAGCATTAAGATTGCAGCTTCCTGGGATATAACGCCGTCTTGATTTGTAGACAGATACTGGAATGTTATGCCGTTCATTTGCTATGTACATCTCACGGGGACCATAATCCTAATCTTCCTGTTTTTCTTTTGTGTCCTGCACAGATCCTCGGGTGTTTTCTATGCTGTGGGGAACCGTCAACACTTCCAGTCGCCGTATCATTGTGCTGCACTGCTACTACGCAAGTGTACTGTTTGGGACGCAGCCCCTAAGGGTTACTCAAGTTGCTTGGCTAGCAATGGAAACCGCAACCACTTGAAATGAGGCCGTCACCAGTTCTGGTACATCTCACGGTAGTTTCTCGTTAACATCGCAAAATCATTCCACTCCATGCACTGGTATTACAAAAAGAAGTTTAAATAGCACCTCCATTATCTTAAAACTGTTTCTTTTTTTGCGTTAAACCCATTGCTATGAAAATCATCATCTCCGTAAACACTTCGCAGATGTCACCATGGTTACCAGACTTTTGCAGAGACTGTGACACGCTGCCATTCATCATTACGACCAGCCCTCCATTGCGTTCAATTTCAAGCGTTCACGAAACAATTTTATTGTCAGTGTGAACATCAGAGAAGCAAGGAAAATCATAAATTTTAATCAACTATGAGAATAC